CAAAAATTCTACCCTGCCCCCAAATCCAAAAATTAAAATAAGACAGCATTAAAACACCATGTCTCCTTTAAGAGTGAGTGCAGGGATAGGAACAGGGGAGCGGTGGAACACTAAGACCCAGGGGAAAGCATTGCTTCCCCTAGGTCTTTTGGCCAGCAGCCTTGGGGAACCAGGTAAGCATGGGGGCTGAGGTCAGGAGGGCTGGGGGTGTTGGGGACTGGAGTAGGTAGGAGAAGAGAGGCTGGGCACTGAGTGTTTGTAGAGTCGCCAGATGCCAGGCATTTTCACCTCCTGGCTAGGGGAAATTTCAGAAAATACCGGACATTTTAAGTGTCTGGTATTCTCTCAATTTTTAACCGGACAGGAGCCGAAAATACCAGACTGTCCAGGTGAATACTGGACATCTGGCAACCATATGTACAACCCAAAAATTCCTTTACATGGGGAGGGAGGGTAAAAGAAGGGAGAACAATCTTCAGTGACTAGTTACATTGATGTTATGGCTGTTTATGTTGCCATAGTGTCAACAAGAAGCTTTAGTAAGCTGGAGAATTGGGTCTCCTACAATGAGGGGGCTTGAAAATAAAGAAGATAAAATGGTCAGTCTGTGTGTGTTTTAGTTAGCATGTGGTCTTGTTGTCTTTTTCTTAGCTGAAAACAGTGATAGTTTTCAATAATTATACATAAACTAATGAGAGCATCTCCCTTACCAAACACACACACTTTATCAAGACCCAATGCAGCAAAGCAGAATGCATGTGGCTAAGCACCACTGAAATCAATGTAGACAATACACAGAACTGGATTCCCTACTTCAATCTCCTAAACTACCAGCTTGCATTAGGTATGAAGATAATCTTTATACACCACTGAGAAATGGAGGCAATTTGATCGTATTAATGAACTGCATGGTCACTCACTTGAAATGAAAAAGACTGTTGATTGCCAACAAATAAAAAGAACAGCTGGGTCTTTACAAAGCAAAACATAACCAGAATGTGTTCCAAAAACTGAGAAGCTATTTCTGTCCCCAGATGAACCTGGTTATTTTTGATTACATGAGGCTTTGTGTAAGTTACCACAAGGGGAAAAGCGCTATCACTCCAATAACTCATGCCTCGTTTGTTTTCCAATTACTTGCCTAATATGACTGTGTCCAAATAATAGACAGACAAATTCTGTGATCCAATGAGCATTTCAGAGTGTAAGTATGTCATACAAACTATGAAACTGTCAAAGTGAAAATTAATGACATGATGCTTTGTCAATTAACATTATTAGCTCCTATGCTCTGAGGAGCGTAGGCAACTACACTGCCATCTTAGCAGTTAAAAGGAAGATTTGCACTTTGTTTAAGTAATAGCTGTAGAGATATATATGTATTTTTGATTAGTATGGCTGGGATTTTCTAAGGAACTTAAGATATCCAAATCTCTTTGAAATTCACAGGAAGATGGGCACCTAACTTCTTTAGGTTCTTTTCTAAAACCCCAGGCTATAGCATTACAATTTTACCTGACATGCCAGCTAAAATTGCCTATAGAAGAAGTTCTAATGTCTCCATGACTGTAGATCATTCTGATTCTATGCCATCTTGCAGGACAGTGACTAGATAGTGTCTGACCTGTCTATCCACATGTCCCACTGCACTATTCTGAACACCCTCCACTGCCACCTCTCCAGCATTCATATTGCACATAGTTCACAGATACCGCCCTTTGTTCATCCAGCTTGCGGGCAGTAGAGGGGGACAAAAAGAGAGGGGAGAAAGAGGACAATCTCCCAACTATTTGAACCTTGAATACTGGAATCCAGGGACTTGTCTACACTAGAACATTTTGTACCTGTTTTCCATCAGTGGTGCAGCAATACCAATGTAAGCTCTAGTGTTATCTCTGGTGTCGATAAGGTGTCGGTTACCAGTGTATCATTTGTTAAAATACCCAAGCCCTATATTTTCCACTGCTTCCGACATTTGCTCAGTGTTTCAAGCACACCAGATTGAGGGATCAGAGACTCAAGAAATAACATTTCTAAAAGGCGAGCGGGACAGTTCAAGGTTGCACATTTTTAGTACCAGCTGGAGGAAAACCATCTCTGACTGGCTGCTTTTCTCTACTTGCCTCAGCCTGTTTCCTGGGGTAGGTAGGGCAGTTGCAGGAAATCAGTGCAGTTTTCTACCTCCGCTGCCCAATTCTCCCCTCCTCCCCCCGGTCAACACCACTCTAACAAAGTGAGGGGGAGAAGAGAGCAGAAAGCGCCTCTCCCTCCAAGCCTGAGAGAAGGGAATAAAGAGATCCAGGGAGGAGCTAGGGTAAGGAGGGGGAGAGGAATTAGCTGGAGGGGCAGAATAGACTGGGAAAAAATGATGGTTGATGAAGAATTAATTGCTGGGCAGGAAGTGACTGATTTGGGGCTATTGAGACACCCTATGCTCTCACCCCACACACTTTTTTGTGCCATTTTAAGTACTGAATTTGCTAGCATCACCAAGATTTAACCAGAAAGCTGGTGCAAAATGCTGTACCACAGACACACTGTAGCGCTGCTTCCTCTCTGGAGAACTGATCCACTTAGAACTGACCTGATGAAATTTCACTGGTGCAAGTATCAATACTGCTTTTTTAATGCAGTTTTGCCACACTGCTGCTCTTGTCCTCTGCATACCTTCCTAGTCACAGCCCCCAGCAGTGGCTTCTGGGAAGACTGTTACAGCAGAGGAGCTGTTACGTCAGCTATGCCCATCCATGCAGACACCGGTGAGAGGCACACCAGGTTAGCTTTGATGGAAGGAAATTGAATCCAAATTACTGTCGTTGTCGTCTCTGCACCATTGGGAGCACTGAGGTTCTTGGGCATGTGGATGTTGCTGGCATGCTAGCCATATCTAATGTCTCTTCTCTAGACAAGGTATTGAGGTACAGATCAGAGAGAGAGATTCAACGTTAGACAGCAAGAGATGATTTCAGCCTTGGCGGGGGAAGAGCAAGAGCTATGAAATGTCTGGAATGTAACCTGCTGAGGGGAAGAGTAGGGTGTGGCCAAAACAGAAGGGCAAGGCTGGGCCATTTAAGATTCAGCAAGATGGCAGGTACAAGGCAGCAGTTACATTTTAGCTTTTTATTTATGTTGGCTGCAATGCTAGGAGAAGACAGTCACCATTATTTCTGAAAGATCCAGCTCTTTGGTGTCAAGCAGCAAAGTTTGTAGCAGGAAGTCAACATTCTGAGACAAAAACAATCCAAACATTAATTCAGCACCACCAACACCTCCTACTATTTCAGTCACTACTTTACAGGCCCTGTCTACATTTAGGAAAATTGTATTTTTATTTTAGCAGTGGTGTTACCAAGAGTATAAGATGTAGCACAGACTGGTCTGGGAGCAGAATTAAACATCCCAAACTAATTACTTTTATGCCAGCATGCAACAACATTCTCTGTAAAAGCTCTCATTATATCATCATCTTCAGGAGGGAAAAAGAATTTCTTAAATAAAAAGAAAACATAAAATGAAATACAATCCAGAAATACTGTTGTTAGAGCAACAGTAAGTTAACTTGGTATGTTCTCTGCACATTAAGTATACTTTTGAGATACCCACTGTAGTAGTAATCAAAAATATTCACACGTTCCAATACCAAAAGGAACAATTGTTATATTCTAGTCTGACCAGAATTCCTTGAATTAGTTTCCATTTGGACTACAGCCATTTTAGAAACAATCCAACCTTGATTGTGATATTGCCAGTGATGGAGAATCCACCACAATCCTTGGCAAATTGTTCCATTGATTCATCATTCTGACTCTTAAAAATTTCTACCTTATTTTTAGTGTGAGTTTTTCTAACTCAAATTTGCAGCCACTAGATCTTCTTAGATCTTTATGCATAATGAGGGTACATCAGTGTTTCTATGAAAACTGTAACTGTTCCAATTTTGTGACTATTGTGTTGAAATTCGTTGTTTTAGAGTCACTTGAAAAATTGTTGTTGCGTTTTATTTCCTAGTTTTGATTTTAAAATATTTATCTAAGGTTAGTGGGAGAAAAAAGTGTTACTGTAGGACTGTGGTGTTGCACAATTACTTTTTTGTAATTCCATAGTGTTGCAGGTGATCAATAGCTTAAAACTTATTTAACAGTAAATGCATGAAAACCCCTTTTCAGGTCACTTTTAACTGGTTATTTAGAAATATGGTCTCAGAATTGACACAGCTATTCCTCACTGCAGACTGGCTGTGTAAGAAATACAGAATGTTAAAAGTTTAATCATTTGAGGATATCAGTACAAAAAGTAAGATGATAAAATGGTCTTAAATGTCTGGTTAAAGTAGAAAAATACTACAAAAAAAAATCAAGAACCCATGCAGAGCTTTTCTACAAGTTTTCATAAAATAATCTATGTATTGAAACTGAGCACAGAATGGAAGGGGAGTTTTTCAGAAAAATTATGAACAAAGCAAAACCAGGAATTAGAATGAAAAAAAAAAAAAGTAAAGATTGTCTTGTAACTTTAACTACAGCAATCCTTGCTGTAAGGTCTATAAGAGAGAGAGAGAGAGTGTGTGTGAGAGAGAAAAGCAACTACAGAGAAAGCCACAAGAAATACTTACACAGAACATATCATCACACAGAGTATATAGCAAAAAACACACACAAATGAAAGGGCTGGACCTCAAAACGTGTAAAAATGAAACACCCAGTAAGATACTTACAATTTACAAATAAGGCTCTTTACATATCAATAGCTGTTTAGCATATTCTGCAGCATCAGTTACACATAAAGCCATGTGCTTTGCATTTGTATTGATCTGTTCAATTATAAAATCCTAAACTGCTGGAAGGCAGGATAAACTTTCAACTGTGCTAAGGCAACTTCTCTCAGCATAGCTTTTGTAAAAGCATTAAGGTTCACTGCAGCTGGCTGTGAGACTATAAACAGCCTTACGTTCCAAAGCATATCTGTCTTAACTATTGAAATAAATCCGATCTTCCTTTTACCTTAAAGAAACTTCCTCTCTTGTCCAGACAACGGGCTTCCATTGTCACAGACGACATCTTCCTGGGGAAGACTCCACTGAACGTCTTGAACTCCTAAAAGTAGAGACATTTTTAATGGTTAGTCCAGTCTGTAGGAAATTCCTTTCTAAGCCACAGGAACAGTCACAACAACAGTTCTGCCAAGATCTTTTTCCGTCAACAACATAGTGCCATTGATTTCCCACCAAAGCCCTTACATATCCTTTTTGTCTATTATTTCCTATAAATTGCACTGCTTCAAAAGACAGCTACTAGAAGTTCCGTTCCCCCCCCCCATCCCCTTCACAACTGATCGTGTAATGATCTGAGATGATTTTAATGCACTCATTAAAAAAGAATGCTAAAACATAATGATTGCTTTGTTTGTTTGCTTGACCTCAGTCTGAAGTACAAATAGAACAAATGTTAGATGTCACCACAATCCGCTTCTAAAGATTACAGCTTTAATGTAGCTGATCAGAGAAAAAAATACCACCAGTAAGGGACAGAACAAGTTACTGTAAATGTAAGAGAGGAAAACATTTCCTACTTTAAGAGAGAGTGAAATAACTTGACCTTTGCATCAGAGAAATTTATATAGAGGTGCAATTACAAAGATATCACCTTTTCCCATAGTTGAATAAAATGTGATTCACTATCCAGCAGAATATAATGTTTACACAAACACAGGCCCACTGATGGGGGTGGGGAGAGAAACATGCAACTGTCCTGGGGATCAATTATTCAAAAGGGCCTGGGCCTCCTGGCAGCTGCAGCAGGGCTGACAGCCTGAGTCCGAGGCCCTTTACATCACTGCCAGAGACCTGGGAGTCACGGTTC